CACTACAAAGCCACCAATCACACGTATGCACTGCAATTGGGTACAAATCGTGTATGGGATTATGCCGGCGATAATTTTGTACATCGTTTGCTGCAAAGTAAAGGTGATGGCAAATTGGTTGCACACACTCAATCGCCGAATGCTGAAAGTGCCGATAGCGATGAAAAAATTGATTCACTTCAACTTGAATTTACGTATGCATTGACATCGCAATTACAAAAGCAGCGAGAATATTATGAAGAAAAATTGGCGCGGCTGGAAAGCAAAATCGAGGCGGAATCAAAACAATTTCAAGTAAAAATCGACACATTTATTCGTGATTACACCGATTTGGACGCAAAGTACGGAACATTGCGAAAAGAAAAGAACGGAATGGAAAAGAAATTGGCTCAATTGAGTACAAAGTGAGTTAATTTTTTTCTTTTTCTTTATTATTACAGAACTCAATCGATTTTTCATGCAAATATTCTTTCAGATTAACCAACTACCAAAAGGAACTGAACGACGAACGTGAAATGATCAAAGCACTGCGATCGAATCAAAGTGAATGGGAGGCAAAGTGTTCACAATTAGAGGAAAAATATAAAAAGTATCAAACCGAAAAAGAGACTGAAATTGGTGAACTAAAGGATGAAATTCGTGATCTCATGTTTTATATGGAAGCTCAAAATGCTGTCGCAAATTCACATCTGAAAGATGAAATCGACGATACATCCATCACCATCTCACCACCGTCCAACCCCGAAGCTTCTGGCTCAAAGAAAACACGACGAAAGAAGAAATAAACGAAAATCACGCTTCAACTCTTTAACGCTTTATATTTCAGACATTGTGATCATTTTGCTTTTAAAAAACCAGCGAACAAAAAAAAAACAAAACCTATTTATTGTTTACAACAAAGAAAATTAATACATTTTTAACTCCCACGAAACAAATTATTTATATAAAACAAAATCAACAATTGTTCAATGTGTTCAATCATAGAAATGAAATAAAATTGTATACACACAAAGACATATAAAATGAGGCGAGCTTTTATGTGCTGTGTTGTTGTCTGTGTTGACAGTTGTCAATTTTGGCGCGAATATTTCCACATCTCATGTGTCATTCGTGGTGCTCACTACTGAACTTACTGTTCTGTTTTTATGGTTTGTTATTTGAATTCTTGCGATTTGGAAAACGAAATTGGCGGAAAAGTGAAATATTTTTACTTCATGTTTTGAATTTATTCAAAAGGTCTAAAGTACACCAATGTTGATTATAGACGAATAGACAATTTCGTGTTGCCAACTTCAGTTCAACATCAACAAACCATGGATAACAATCCAATTCAAGAAGATAAAGGCTATTTCTATGGTGTTTATTTGCTGTGCAGTCAAAGTGATAACCCAAAATATCGAAATAAAAATTACATTGGTTTCACTGTCAACCCAAACAGACGAATTATTCAACATAATCGCGGAAATATGTTTGGCGGTGCCAAGAAAACCAGCGACAAAGGACCATGGGAAATGGTATTGATTGTTCATGGCTTTCCGAACAACATATCGGCTTTGCGGGTAAGACGGGGTTTTTGCATTCACACAGTGCACCAAACTAATAAAGGCAACTTCTCTATTTATTCTACATTCAAAGCACATTTTTGTATTTACCAGTCTATGTTAGAAGACTAAATTCGATTTTGCAAATTTTTTTAATGCTTTATTTTGCTTTAATCTAATACCACAAATTAACCACTGATTTTTATTTGTCCAATTGTTTTTTTACTTTTATTTACATCAAATTTTAGTTTGAATGGGCTTGGCAACAGCCGAAAGAATCGCGTCGGCTACGGCATTTGGACGAATTAAAACGTCGAAAACCAGGCGAAAGTTTTTTCGATTTGAATTTTCGCATTTTGACGGAAATGCTACGAACACCACCATGGAATCGACTTGCGTTGACTGTGCGATGGTTGTCTAAGGAGTTTGCACGCGATTTTCCGGTAAAATATTTTCTAATATAAAAAAAATGTCCCCGAAAATAGACTATTCCAATTAATAAAATGAATCAAATATTAATGAAACAAGTTCCTTGTTCGTTTGTGAATAATGAATTTTACGTTTCCGCACACCTAGTGTGGAAAGACATTCATAATTTATGAATGAAATGAATTTGTGATCGAAAGACTAAAAAATGATGTTTATTCTTGCAGGTCACCAAACTGCCTCCGAGCCATATGTTAATCCGGCAAGGCGACATTGTGTTGAAGAAGGCAAAGAAGCCTTCTTGTCCGATGGATGATTTCGCATCTCAAAGCCCCGTAAAATGTATTATTTGTGATCGATTCGTATCTGCGGTGGAACGCGTAAGCTGCTCAAATTCTGGCTGTTCATTAAATTGTCATCTCATTTGTTTAGGTCAACGTTTCTTGGAGCCGGGTGAATATGTGCCAATTAGTGGATCATGTCCAAAATGCCATCAAATTCAACTCTGGAGCGATGTTGTGCGCAAATTCAAGGGCTATTCCGATGCAATCGTTTTAGCTGCTGATGACGAACATGATATATAACAACAATTTTGTTTCCATAATTTTATTGCTAGATTATTAGAAATTAACGGACTAGAGAAATGTCTCAATTTAATCGACGACATATGAATGGAATTTGCATGACAAAGCGGCCGTTTTAGGGTCGTATGATTTTTATTGTGACTAAGTGATATACGAAAGTAATAAAATTAATGATGATTTGTGTAAAATATTTTTGAAATCGATATGAGATTAGTTTTGATAGTAGAAAGCAGGCAAAAGAATACATATATCATTGGAAAAAGACGTCACCAAACAAAGTTGTGTGAAAAATAAATAATAATGAAAGAAAAGACAAAACGATGAAGGTTTGCCACAAGATACTGATGAAGTTGTTTGTGATTGTAATTATTGATTTCTGTTGTTGAATCTCTCATCATCATTCATCTCAATTGGCGTACACAGCTGTTATGAATGGGCCGAAGAATAAAATATCAATAAATCATTCGCTGATTGTGGCCACTTTCAAAGTGACATTGAACATTTCCCCTAAACAAATAAATGGGTGGGGATTTGAAATCGAATATTGAATATTGCTTTTGTTATTCGAAATAGAGTCGTGTCGAAAATACGAGAAGAAAGTTTGGGAATTTTTTTAATTGTTATATGTGCGCCCAATGAGTGGCTCCAAACCATAAAAATTGCGAAGAATGTTTGGAAGATACGATTGAATTGAGTGGCTTCGTTATTCCCAAACAAAAAGTCATTACACTCTTAGTTTGGACCACATTTCGAGGATCCCACAATACGGTAATTTTTCTTCAACCAATGCTTATCAGTCAGAGGAAAATTAAATGCTTTGGATATGGAGCAACGTAACCGAATCTAATGGTTCATTTTCATGAAATGTGGAACGATTGAGTGATTTGCATATATATCGTGCGCACTTTATTCAAATACATTCTTCCATAGTTTCTCTTTCTTTTCATTCATATTCATAGACGTGCGCGCGGTTGCGTAGCACGCGAAACGCATGGTGATTTATGCACAACAAAAATGTCTTGACTTTGAGAATGGGATAGAGTTACCGAAACAATTCAAACGAGAATACCAATTACACACTCGAGAAATAAATTAAACACAAAGAACGATTGATGAAGCAAGAGAGAGAGAAAGAGAGAGAGAGAGAGAGAGAGAGAGAGAGAGAGAGAACAAAGTCAAAACACGAACAATGACGCACTTCATTTCTTTTCAGCATTCATTCAATTTGCTCGCTTGGTTGTGGTAAATACTTGTGAGTGCAAACAAAGCAATGGAAACATTGAATTTGGGGAGAACCATTCATACGATAGCCATCTTTGATCCAAGAATGGAATACGAAAAAATAAATTGGAATTTCGATGACAATCGCATTTTCTATGATTTAATGCGATATACGAACAAACGAGTTTAGTGAAATACTTTTATGCGCACCGATGTATGGATGTGTCGAAAAGTAGCAAGACATGCCGACACAGCGACAAATCGGAAGATTTAAGTTGACCAACTTGGTAGGTGTTTTGACTAGAAACCAATTTTGAATTTCACTCCAATCATATTCGTCGTACTGCTTTTATTAAATGATAATAATAATATTTGGTTTATTCAAATTTGACAAAGTGTCTTGTTTTTTTGGCTACCGGTATTTCGTTTCACTTTTGATAATAAATTTTAAAATTTTTAAAGAGTTTTCAAGAGTTCGATAGAGATCATAATCAAAACATAGCAGAGCTTGTCATCAGCTAATGCTCCTAAATTCAGTCGCATATTTTTGTTGCCAAATCGAAAGTGTCGCGCTGAAAACTCGCATAAATTGTGTGTTTCTTGAGGTGTCCCCAGTGCAGATTTCATTTTATCGCCCGCCTGCATTGCAGACACCACAGTTCTCAACGGGTCACATTGCAGATGAGCACCTATCAGCATACCCTGAAACTTTGATCTATAACCGTCTATAACGAACTCGTCTGTTGAAAATTCCGCTTTAAATTCCATACCATTGGCCATGACTGACTTCTTCAAGCCAAAGATGATCACAACCATTTCGTCTTTTCATTCACAATATTTCTTGTCTCGTTCAAAATCCAACTAAAATCGTCTGAAGAAAAAAACTAAAAATAAAAAAAAAAAACCATCCAAAGAGGTGTAAATAATAAAGAGTCCAAAGTCAAACAAAAAAGTGTTGTTATTCTTTCAAGGCGTTTATTTGTACACTTTCATCTAGTTGGAATGTTTAGCACTTGTTTTCTACACATGTGTTTACCAGAAATATAAAGAATATTTCTTATCGATTTTGAATGGGCTCGGTTGCACTTGACTATGAGTGTTAATTAGGCCCATTACCGTTTTTTTTGTGTGCGTTACCATTTCTTGATAATTATCTAATTTTGGCATTTCAGTTGCAGCCAGCACTGAATGAATTTCTAACGAAAATATCTTTCTGACTATTTCTCTTTCCTCGGCTCGAATTTGAAACCGACAAATGTGATATTGCTATGGTCAATAGTTTTTCATTGTAATAAATAAATAAATAAGTAAAAAAAATCTCATTAAATATCATATAGTCAATAACAATTTTGTGAGCTAAACTCCAGTATCTTAAACTAAAAAAATCAAGATATTCTATGCTAGTCTATTTACAGTACAAACAGAGAGATAGATGGATACAAATCATTTTTTTTTTTCATTTCGTTCGTTGTGTAATAATAATTCTTCGTTCGTGTTTCGGACAAACCATTAAAACCGTTATGGTTGTTCATTGTGATGTTGGAAAAAAAAGCGTAACAAAACAGCGGAAACTACATGATATGCCAGAAGAAAAACAACTGATTCCAGTGATGCTGTTGGTTTGCTAACCCAATTTTGCAAGCCCATATAGAACTGATGTGCAATAAAGAGACAAGCGCAATTTGCATATTTTTTTTATATAAATGTAAAACAATCTCCAGAACGCATCTTTGTGCGCGTGCGCCAGTGAATGCAATTTATGATGGTATTTAATGGATTACGAGTTTCTCATTTGGTGAGATATTAGAAGAGCATCAAAAGAGAAGTATCTCAATCAATAGCAGCAGTACTTAGTATTTGCAATTTCACAAATAAATAGAAAATGAATTGGCCGTTTTCTAATTATATTGACATATGTCAAATACATTTTCACTCGTCCCAAATTTGATAGTTTTTTATGATTTTGAAAAACACATATTCCAACGCAAATAAATTCGGTTCCAGTCGAACGTTGGCGTTATCTTTACATATGTTCATTTTTTCGGCATGTTTACCGTGTCACTCATCGTTTCCATCACATATTGATTGTTATTCGGATGTTACTACGAAGAAACGAAAAATATATTTAAATACACACGGTCGAAACCGATTCATTCAAAGAGAAAGTAAGAATAATATTTCTTTCTGACTTTTTTCAATGCTTTCTCATTCTTCAGAACACCCGAATGTGTCACCGAAATTTCTTTGTACCGAAGCGAAAAAAAAACGAACAAAAGAATGTCTGTCTCTTAGGTAAAATACCGTGAAATCGACGATTTGTTGTTTTCACATTGAGAATGCGCGAATTTATTCATCAATTTTTTTCAGTTTGAACGCGATATCATGCACGAATCTCACAATTAATCGCAACATTTCTATGCTATAGAAGAGGCACCGCTTTGAATTCACGATTGAAATCAATGATTAGAGTGAAAACGTGTTGAAGAATCTATTTTAGTCTGAATTTCAATGATTGAAAGCAGAAATACTTTGAGTGAAAAGCGTTTTTGGCAATAAAGAAAGGTAAAAAGTGAAAAGATTGAACACTTTCAAAGGAATGAACAATTTCTAAAAAGAGAACAACTCAATATAAAATAATTAAAACCAATGAACAAGAAAGGCGATAAAAAAAGTCATAACATAAAAAAAAAGAATCAAAATTGCATTTTGTTCGATGGCCGAACTTTTATCACTCCATTCATTTTTTCAAGTGAAATCTTGTTGCTTTGTTTCGTTTGTCACTTCGGTGAACTTTAATCCATCGATCCCAAAAATAATAAACCGTTTCCAATTTCTATTTAGAATGCAAAACCGTTTTCAATAGCGTTTTGATTGAAAATGCATCTCGCATATGAATGCAAATTCACCATTTGATGTGCTTGGGCAGAGAGAACGCGTTTCAACGGTACTTCATATGATTATGTAAATTGGTACGCACTCTCTCTCTCCCTTCCTCTCTAGCATCTCTTCACATGACCATAAATCGCATTCACTGGCACACACGTATGAAAAACCGTTTGATCAAATAGAATGTTAATAGCAATATATATTCTTTTGATATGCGAAATGATTTGATTGATGATGAAACTTTGTAATTTTCAGGTTTTCTTTCGACTTTTAAGTGTTTTTTTGGTTGATCTTATTTGAATTTGAATTTAATGAATTGATTTTTTTTCGACTCTTTGTTTTCTTTATGGGTAAAATTTAATATTTTTTTGAATTTTTCACATTCCGAATGCTTTACACTGGAATTAATGGTGCACTGTTTTGTTTTCACTGTTTCTTCACTTTGCATTTTTAAAATAAATAAAATAAATAAATAGCACTAAAAACTATCTTAAAACGATGATTTATGTGTCATATCTCTCATTTTTGCGATGACGTGCCCGCGGTCGTTATTTGGCATCGAATAAATCCTCTGCGCCCAGATCATCCAGTCCACCACCGAAACCGTAGTCATCATAGTCAGCATTGGGCGGAACGAAGGCACCATTGAACCAGCCCGCAACTATGAAAATAAATCAAAAAAACAGTACATTTTAAAACTGCGCATACCGAATGATCGAAGCGAAACACTCACCTCTTTCTTCAAGGTTCATTTGAACCGCAAGCCCATAAATGAGGCGCATGATAAGCAATCGCACGAAATTTGGTGGATTTGTCTCTCTCAATTCCAATTCTTTTGCAACCGATGTTTTTTGTTGTTCCATTGTTTTTTCACTTTGAACTTTTTTGCTTCGTTTACGTTTGGCATCACAATCGGCGGCCAATATCAGTACAATCAACAAAAGCACTGCCACTTTTCGGAATGTTGGTGACATCATTTTCTTTTTGTTATACTTTCCAAAATTTTCTCAAAGTGAATTAGGTTTATCACCAATTTTCCGGGGTGGTTTCGATTCGGTTTCGTCCAAAATTAAATTGACTCAATTCGATTAGTTCTTTCTACACACAATTTTGTGAGCTCAATACCGAACGATGTTTGAACGCTTGCACGTTTTTTAACGGAATGAACGTTGTCGGTTTGAATCACCTCACATAAATACTCGCATATATATGAAATAGCCATGTGAAATAGAGTCTATGTATGTATGCCATTTAACGTAGCGCCGAAGCTGCGATATGGTTCTATTGGTGTGTGCGCGCAATGAAAAGGCGAAAGAGAAATGCAAACAATAAGAAGATTGTTCGATGCCGTTATATTACTGCGGTCAAACACTTCGCGGTTGGCGACGACGAAGAAAGCAACCAACAACAAGTAAGAAAGACACACACATACAAATATCACGTGGATTTAGGCACGTACAAACTCAAACATCATGACCAACCACAAAAAGATGCTTTTTCCTAAAGGCAACCTAGAGAAGAAGATGACTGTGTAAACAAATTTGAAAATGAATCGTTTTTAACGGTATCCATTGGTCCAATTGATCGGCGGAATTAGCCAATTAGCTTGTTATGGCGTAGAAATCAAAAGTGAACACAATTGAAATTGATTGGCAATTGACAAGGTCGTTAAATTTATTTTCGATTTTCACTCTTTCTTCACTGATTGTTGGACTTTTAAGCATGCATTTACATTAATGAACGACGACTTTTTTCTCCCTTTACAATACATCTAAAGAAGTCATCATTCCGCAGGAGATTCAAATAATTTATTCTTTTGTTGCTAGTTGATTAGATTTGCACTTGAAATTTAAATAATAAAGGCAATTTTTTTTGCTACGAAGTGAAATCACTTTCTTTGAATCTGCATGAGAAAAACAAATTTGTGGAATTTAAGTTAGTTACGTTTTCTACGTATTTGCAAACATTTTGAATAACTTTTTAACGATGATGTGGCCAGTTTTGTTATGCCGTGAACTTTTTTATGTTTAGAACCATAAAACATCGTATCTTTTGATCAACTTTTCAGAATTTTTTTATGTTAATTCATTTAGTTCTTCATTAATTAATTTAAACGTTTTTGGAAATCAATTTTTATCTGTCCATCTACGAGAACAATAGTATCGGCCATGATCAAAGTTTTGGAGTTTGAAGTTGAAAATTTGAAGTTTCCTTCATTCTAAATCATCAAAGCAATTATCTTTCATCTTTTTTGATAAGAAGAGATCTCATTTACTCTTATTCTTTTGAAGCACGAGCTATGTTTCAATTCTCAATTATTATAGAAATTTCACTGGGAAACTCTTATAATGTTCAGTAAATATTCTGGGTAATAAATAAAGTGTTAGCTTGTGCATAAAAATCAGTTACAACAATTAAAAAGACAATTAATGTCATTTTTATTGTACACGCTTCTTGAGCATATTCCATATAATTAAAAGAGATGCATCGCAATGAACATAGTAATGATTGTTTAGTGATCACGTCTGCGAATGCAAGACTCTTAAATGAAGTAGGGAAGTGCAAAGAGTTGAAATAACACATGTAATGCGTTCTACACTTCAGAACTGCATGCACGAAATCATCACAAAAGCAAACAGTTTTTTCTATCGAACCATAAGTTCTACGAATTATTTCATGTGTTTTTCAAGAACTATTGCATCGCGCTAGTATTTTCGATTTTAACTGATCATTGTTAATTTCTTGATTTTAAATAAATGAAATTCGTTATCTTTTCGCTCAATTTAAGATAATTTATTTTTAAAGTTACAATTATTCTGCATTGAAATATTCAACTTTTGGGAAAAAATCTGATTGTGCTAATCTCGAAAACGATCTAATGATTATATCTTTTTATGATAAACCTATTAATTATTTCACGTAACTTGGGTATAAATATGTTTTTATTTTAAGCTGTCTATATCAAGAAAATCGAGTAATCACGGATAAACACTCAAAGGTGAGCCATAAAAAGGTGTCCTTCATTATATCGTATTTCAAAATGAATCGTGATTTTTTTCAGTACATATGAAACTGTGCATACCAGCTGTTGTGTAATTTCGAAAAGAGTTTAAAGACATTACTAGCGTGAAACTATTTCTTTAAATTTAAAGACATTTTTTTTTTAAGAAAAAAGTGTAAAAAATGTTCATACAAATTATTTCGGTCATTTGCATGATTGTCATAAATGGTTGCAGAAGTGACGAGGTAAATGATGTAGAATTTGATGTAAAAATAAAATAATCAAACATAAAGGTAAAATCTTCAAAATATATACACCTTCAAAATTTGAATTAAAATAGCACCTGATTCAAACCTAGTGAATTGAGCAAATGTTTAAAGTTTAAAATCAAACAATAGTGCCAAACCCCTGAACTTTCGATTTAAAACGTCTTAAGACGTTTCAAATTTGAATACACATTTTACGAAACAAATAATTTCAATAAATTTTTCTACCGAATTTCTTCTGTTCTTCAGCCGCAAATTACTGATCCGGAAATCTTTCTAAACTGCAAATTATTTTGTGGAATTTATAATATAATTCGTGTATATTTCGATTTGAATTGAAAATGCATAACATTGACACATTTCTCTCTAGAGAGGCCATGCACTGAATTATTAAAACTTACTACTCATGTGATCAATGCTATCTAGGCGTACTATCAAGTAATTTTCGACTGATAAAAATGTCAATATATAATTAACATTTAACAAGTTTGTATCTTTCCCAATTTTATTGTCCATAAAACGCAAATCTTATCAAACATAAGAAATCACATGATTGGGTGTATATAATAGATTTCCAACTCAAGTTTACGATAATAATTCATTTATCAGAATAAAAGGCGATAAAATCCACGCTGACAGTTCCAAGTTTTGATTTCAAAACGATCAAATTGTTGTTGGAAATGGATGTAATTCAAGAGACCCCAACATTTCCGGTAGCATGTCATTGAAATATTAAAATTCTAGGCGCAATTTTACACCGCGGCTATAGCCGAAGTAAATCCAGTGAATGATGGATATTCATTCGAAGGTGTGGCGGAGTTGACAAAGCAAGCAGTTGAAATAATTGAATCCCATGAAATGAAAGAAGTCGATATTATGGTGTTACCTGAAGGGTTATTAAATCGTCGATACAACACGACGATTCTCTTGCCAAACACAGAAAAATCATATTGTGATGATCCAAATATCCATTTTGTGCTGCGAAATATTTCGTGTGCTGCTCGAAAGGTTCGAAAATACGTTGTAATCAATTTGAATGTCAGAGTCAATTGTTCACACGACGATCAATCGTTTTGTGCATACCAAGATGATTCTACGAATCTGTACAATATGGCCATTGCATTTGATCGTAATGGTGATATGGTTGCCAGGTAAGAACACATAAAATTGAATGTCTTAGTATGTGAATGCATTTTAGAGCTCAATCTATTCAAAAAGGTATCGAAAATATCATTTGTTTGGTGAAACTGGTGTTCAGCAAACCGAAAAACCAGATCGCATTACATTTAAAACCGATTTTAATGTAACATTCGGTGTGTGCATTTGTTTTGATTTGTTTTTCGACGAACCGACGCTTGATTTGGTTCAACAAGGCATTAAACATTTTGTTTATCCAACAAAGTGGTACTCGGAAATTCCGTATTTGTCTGGTAACGCTGAATTTTTTGAATTCCGGAACATTTCCTGAAAATATTTTTTTTCGAACGATCGTTTCCTTAAAAAGTCTTTGAAAATTCCCGAATTTTCGAAAAATGTACCGACATTCGAGATTTTTCTGTTTTAATAATAAAACTAGTTTCTCAATAAAATGTGCATTTATTTCAGCCGTTCAATATCAACAGAGTTGGGCATATGCAAATAATGTAAACTTACTAGCCGCTAATATAAACTTGCCCGATATAAAATGTTCTGGAAGTGGAATTTTCAGCGGACGATCGGGTGCTTTGCAAGTCGTTGTTAATGAAACACCCACAACAAAAATTCTTGTTGCAAAAGTTCCTGTTCATTTACCAGCAGATGATGAATACTCTGCGAACACCTTTGACAACGTCATTTTTAAAGAAACTGCAATGGAATCTGGCGACAAGCATTTTGGGAATAACAGATCTGCAGAACAAACAATTGCAATGAATTTGGGTCAAGAAAAGTTAACCGATTACACAGTGAAATTTTTAGATTTTACTGCGAGTCACTATAAGGTTGGAAGTGTTTGTAATGAAGCTATTTGCTGCAATTACACCATCGAAGTCACTGACAATGGTGAACAAAAAGGAAAAGTAAGAAGTTGAGTTCTTTTGAAATGCCTTTGACATTAATACGTATTTATTGTATTCGATTTCAGTCATCATATTCATACGCGATAACAGTATTCAGTGGACGTCGAAAACACGGTACAATTGAGAATTTACTTACTGGTCAAGATATTTGCGGTTTGGTTGCTTGCACCGACAGAAATTCAAAGCATTCCTGTGGCATTCGTTTACCAACCGCACAAGTTCAAAATCGATACCATTTCAAAAAATTGCATTTAAGAACTGTACTTTCTATTACACACATGAAAATCATGCCCAACACATTGACACAGCAATTACTACCACTCAAACCAATGGAATTTGAACACCAAATGTAAGGCATTCATGAAAATTCCATTTTTTTATTCTGGCCAAGGAAGGAAACCATTTATGAATTTATATATATGTTTAATTGCAGATTCAAAGTGGAAGGTGCCGATAAGTATGACGTGACCTTGAATTTGAATGGGCAACAGTCAGATCTTCTTACTTTTGCTATTTTCTCGAGGGATTTTGATAAAGATATATACAATCAAATTACGCCAAACAGTGCAGCATCACAAAAAGGCACATTTATATTAATATTTTGCATTGTATTCAGCATTAGTGGGATTATATCTATTGAATATATTGAGAAGAGAGTATGTTATTCAGCGCTTATGGTTGAGTAATGTCTGAATAAAAACATACTCTCCTCTCGATATTTTCAATAGATATAGTTTTTCATTCTATTTGAAAGAGAGAGTTCAGCAAATAATATACAAAAAACACATAATCCAGAATTTTTAAAATTGTAAATTCGTTATTTTTTGCGAAGTGGGTGGCTGAAGTAATAAAATTAAAATTATTTGTTTAGTGTATGTCTGCATGATTCAATATAGTTTTCTGACATGGAGCAAAAAAAAAAGTTACTTGTTAGAGTGGCTTTTGGTCTTTTAATTCATCAGTCAAAAAATGTGAAATAAAATCAGCACCGCAACGGAATTATATAAAACACTCATCATTGTAAAGTGTGCATCTCATGACCATTTTATCAACTGATTTTATCGCAATCACTCAAAGACACCTTTCTTTGGAGCTACAAATTTGACTCTATACTGTCTTCATTCGTCAGTACGTCTGTGCTAATATCGGCTAATACATTGATTTAAAAGGTTGAGAAACTGAAGTAATTTTTTTGGTTGTTTAAATTGTGTACTTTAAAGCAAAATTTATTTTATTTCGAACCGTTTTGGTATTTGTTTGTTTAAACCTAAATAAAGGAGATATAAACAAAAAAAACTTTGACAATAACGAACGAATCAAAAGTCATTAAAATCAGCTGTTTTCAATGTTATTGTATTGCTTCAAAAGTCAATAGTGTCAACACGTACGGCAACTGCGAAACAGAGAGAAAGAGATAAAGAACGATAAGAATGTAGCTCATAATCGAAAATTTACACATACACTGCATTTTTGAGCCAAACTGATTTGCATCGTACGACAAAATTTTTGGCTTTGTGACAACACCTTTGTCATATCACTATATCTGCATGTAAGGATATGTGTGATCGGTAGTGCATGCTCACACAAATGCAGAAACCGCTCACAGAAGACGTCAGTTGTAATATTTGTGAACTCTGGTAGTAATTTACTAAATTACCACCATTACAATGTGCGGCATGGTGATTTTTGTATGTATTGTATTTGCTTTGCTGTGACAGCGCTGTACAGTATTACCACCAACACTGCGTTGAGCGATAGTAATATTGCTCAGCAAAGCACATACAATACATACAAAAATCACCATGCCACACATTGTAATGGTGGTAATTTAGTAAATCACCACCAGAGTTCGCAAATATTACAATTGACGTCTTCTGTGAGCGATTGCCTTTCTTTTTAACGCAGAACGCAAAAACGCTCATGTCAAGTAGTCTTCGATCGGTCAAATGTTTAGCTGTCAAATCACTTTTAATCATTTTATTTTATACGCCGAAGCTTAAAAAATGTCTTATTGAATCGAAGACTCTTGAATTCATCGTTAAACCAAAGTTGATTTTTGTGTTAATTCCTGTTTAGGTTGCCAATTAAGAGAAAATAGCAAAAATACCGATTTTAATAAACAGAACGATTTGCCTATTTCAGAGTGATCATGCGACTTTTGGTGTTGATTTGCCTCATTTTAGTGAGTGGCTACAAAAGCGAAGAGGTAATTATGTATATTTAATCTGTATTAAATTACAAATTTCAAATCATTTTTCAAAAGAAATGGCAATAAAACCGAATTTCACGAGAATAAAAATGGAACATTTTTGTAAAAGTGTTTCAATATTCAATCTTATTGTCTACACTCAAGTGTGTTCAGTAAGCTTATCATTCAAGTATCGATATCTCCGAAAAGAAAGTGAAAAAATAGCCTTTATTGCTATACGACTAACACTGTAATAAAGATTAAACCCGTATGAGTTTAAGACGTCTTTGTCTCATATTGTAAACCTCATTTTTTTCTCGTCTAGATTTCAACTTATACAGCAGCAGTAGTCGAAGTGAATGCCATTGCTGCCGGTTATAATATTGAGAATGTTAAAAAGGTTACAAAACAAGTGACCGAAATTATCGAGTCAAATGAATTAAATGGTGTTGATATTGTTGTATTACCGGAAGGCATTCTCAATGAACCAAACACAGCTGTTCTTCTGACAAACCCAAACAATACATATTGTAATGATGCTAATGCTCATTTTGTGCTGCGTGATATTTCATGTGCTGTTCGTAATGCCAACAGATATGTTGCAATCAATTTATATGCAAAAGTGAATTGTTCGGAGGATGATCAAAAATTCTGTGCAAATGAAATTGATAACACAAATCTGTATAATATGGCTATTATTTTCGATCGTAACGGTGATGTGGTTGCTAAGTAAGTTTATTTTTAGATATCTACGGTGTCTTTTCAGATACCTGGCAGGAGAAAAAAATAACCAAATTTTTTATAAAATTAATCGAAGATATCGAAAATACCATTTATTTGGTGAGGGCGGAGTTCAACAAACCGAAAAACCCGATTTCATTACATTCGAAACGGATTTCAATGTTACGTTTGGTGTGTGCATTTGTTTCGATTTGATGTTTAGCGAGCCAGCGAATGATTTGGTGCAGCAAGGTGTCAAAAATTTCGTTTATCCAACGTATTGGTACTCAGAATTACCGTATTTGACATGTAAGACCCACATTTATTGACCAAACACCAGAAATGTAAAAATCCATTCACTTCTTTCAGCCGCTCAATATCAAAATAGTTGGGCTTATGCAAATAATGTAAACTTATTAGCAGCAAATCAGAATATACCAGTCGTTCAATGTTCCGGAAGTGGAATTTATAGTGGACGATCGGGTGCTTTAAAAGTGTTCGTTAGTGAAACGGCTGCAACGAAAATTCTAATTGCCAACGTTCCTGTTGACTTGCCAGCAAACGATGATGTTTTATCAACGTTTGAATCGGATGAAGTGGGTAAAGAAATGAAATTGGACACTCGGTCGGTGTATTATTCGGAGGAAAACAAAGGAATGCAGTACATCTCCAATATGAATCAAGACAATTTAACCGAATTCAGTGTGAAATTTTTGAATTTCCACAAGAGCAACAGTCAAGCAGGAACGGTTTGTAATAATGGTATTTGTTGTTACTACAACATTGAAGTTACCGATAAGGGCGAACAAGAGGGAAATGTACGTGGTATTTTTTGGTATACGAATTTTCGAGATTTTCAATTATATACTGACTTTATACTCTTTCAGACATCATATTCATACGCGATATCAGTATTTAGCGGATATCGACATTACAAATCCATCAAAAATTTACTGACTGGCCAAGAAGTGTGCAGTTTGATTGCTTGCACCGAGATGAATTCAAAGGATTCGTGTGGCTTAAGACTGCCAGTGTCACAAATACATAATCGATTCAATTTTAAGAAATTGGATTTAAGAACAGTGCTTCCCATTACACACATGAAAACAATGCCAAACACATTGACACAGGAATTGCTGCCGCTCAAATCAACGGAATTTGAACACCAAATGTACGAAATATTGTTTTAATTATTTATTTATTCGAAGGTTTTTTCACTTTTTTTATTTTGAATATATTTTTTTAGATCCAAAGTTGAAGGAGACGCCAAGTATTCTGTGACATTAAATTTGACCGAACCGAAGGACGATATACTCACCTTTGCTATTTTCTCACGTGATTATGACAAAGATATTATCGGCCAAATATGATTTCTCTACTCTCCAATTTAACAAAAGATTCATGTAAATGGGACAAACATTTTACATAAAATGCTCAAATATTGTCGGAAGTCATTTTGCAAATATTTTGGAAATAATAAGAAAACTAAATAAGATACATGTTTTTATGACTTTCAATACTCGTGCCTTCGTAGAAAAAAATAGAATATTCGTTCGTTTGGAGCATACTTTCTGACCAGGGGTCCAATTACCCCTGTTGTTCAAAAGGTGTATATCCAAAAAATATCACTTTTTGGGGTGTCATGTTCACGCTGATGCTGTATCCACACCACAAAACTCAAATTTGTTTTGTAATGGCAATTGCTCATAAAAATTGGCCAACTCTTCGACTATCTCAAGAATTTGAATCTATCAACACTGTGTTTCCCGTTCCGGATACATAAATAGCATCCTATTTACATTGACAATATATATATGCGAAAAACAATAACACTGCAAAAATGAAGCTTTTTAAATTGAATTGTTTTTGGAATGTGGCAATCTCTAATACTAGATCAAATGATTTTTTTTGGGGAATTATGTGAAAAAGCATAAACTTTTTAAAAATGGAAAAAAAACTCTTGTTCACAAGGATTAATAACTATATATGCCCATGGATTGCTCAGGAAAGTATTTATTAATCAACAACGCATGACTGTAGATTTTCATCATTTTCAGCGTTTTCAACCAGATCACATGATGCCAAACAATCATTTTCTACTGATTTGTCCATAAACGATTTATTTAAATCGATAAATTCCTCTAGATCGTCAGGTTTCATAAGATCGGAAAATGTCTTGGCAAGATTGTCGAATAATGGACGTGATTTAGGGTCGGTATTCCAACATGACATCATAATATCGTATCTAAAATTTATATAATTATTAGTCATTGCTTCTGGTTTACTCAATCTGTTGCCGCTTTGTAAAAAGTTTGCCAAATTGTTATATGGCATAAATCCGAGTGAAAATAGTTCCCATAGCACGATACCAATTGACCACACATCTGAATGAACACTGTACTTCTGATCGATTAAAGATTCGGAAGCCAACCATCTGTACGGAACCAGTTCCTGCAAATCATATTTGAATATTAGTTAATTTAAAATATTTAAAAAAAACTGTTACAGTAAAATAGCTAAGAATTTGACAATGTTTTGAAAAGCAATAATAAATTTAATTCAATTTAAAGTTTGATAAAAACAGAAATCGAATACAAATAAGCATAGTGTCGTCATTATTATTTGTTTGTTTTGATCTTCACTTCGAAAGTATAATCAGTCGCCTGCGAAAAACATCAACAACAATTTCAATTTGAATCAAAAGGTTCATTTCAATCGGCAATCTGTGAAGTCGGTCGTTGTTTGTGCAAATGGGCCGTATAAATAAATTAGGAATAATACTATTTGCTTAATAAATTTGGTTTAAAATATAAACGGAATGAATTCAAACTGAAATTGATATGTGGGGGAATGGGGGTAAAGCATATTGCCCTTTGTATAACAATCTGTATAAGTGTATATAGTCGCATTCAGAGTAACAACAAATCACTTTATTGTACTGATTAACTTTCTTTCTCTCACTTTTATATTACAACAACAATAACATTGTTGATAATAGGCTAGAGTTTTTTGGCAAACGAAAAAATGCTACAAAAATCGAAAGTAAGCGAAAAATACCGAGTAGACATGACCAATGGCAACATTTCATTAGATGAAGTTGTTCTTCTTTCATAAAAACGACAATTTCAACACAATCAACTTTGTTGTCACCAAAAAATATCTTGCTTCGCATGAGTTTATTGAACATTGTATCCACAGTGAGAGTTCAACCAACTTGTTTTCAATTTTTGCGTCGTTATCACAACAACAGTTGTTTGGCTCAAACTCATCAAAATAAATTGAAAGAAAAAATGTCTTCAGGGGAATGAATGAGTGAAGAAATGAACTTAATTTCTTTCAACTCAAAATCAGTCGTTCCGTTCCACTCTACTACTAGAGATAAGACGAATTTTTTTCGACTTGTCCTCTTATCTATCAATTATTGTGGATTGTTTTGTTTTCATGCATGTTTGAATCCCAATTAATTTTCAGTATTTAGAAAACTGTGCAATTGGGCAGATGTTGTTTTAAGTCATAAATCGATTATTTTGGAAATTTTTGTGTGAAAAGGAAAGAAAGAACGAATAATAAAAGAAATTGGTAGAAAATTGAAAATCAATCGTTAATAAAATAAAAAAAAAGTGAAAAAATGATCAAACGATGGCTTGCGATATTTTCTTCCTTGGCTTACCATATTAGTGGCTATGACAATCAGGCGGTATTTTCGAATTGTGGAAATTATCTGTTTTTAGTCTCCAGATTAAGAACAAAAATTATGCATTCTCCATTTCATTTGACATTTCTCGTTGCCTTCCCTTTAGATTCAAACTTACACCGCAGCGGTAGTCGAATTTAATCCGGTTTCGATTGGCGACACTTTCACGAATGTTGCTCAGGTCACAACTCAAGCGATCGAAATTATTGAATCGGATGAATTAAATGGAGCAGATATTGTTGTATTACCCGAAGGAATTTTTAATCGTCAAAATACAGCTTCATATCTACCAAATACCAATGATTCATATTGTGATCATGAGAATGTTGACATGGTACTACGGAATATTTCATGTGCCGTCCGCAAAGCGAACAAGTATGTTGTCATCAATTTATATGTTAAAATAAATTGTGAATTCGACGATCAGCCATTCTGTTCAAACCAAACCGATTCCACGAATCTCTACAATATGGCTGTCGTCTTTGATCGAAGAGGTGATGTGGTGGCCAGGTATATTAAAATAGGTCAAACAAACTAAAACAATAACAATGTTCAAAATAAAATTCATTCAATTCGATAGATATCGAAAATACAATTTATTCAACGAAGACGGAGTTCAACAGACCGAAATGCCCGATTTAATTACATTCGCAACGGATTTCAATGTTACATTTGGAATATGCGTTTGCTTTGATTTGATGTTTGATCAACCGGTGATTAATTTGGTGCATAAAGGAGTGACAAATTTTATTTATCCAACGATGTGGTTCTCAGAAATACCTTATTTATCAGGTAAATCCCTTCGTTAATTTACAATCTTCATTTTTGCTTCACATTTCCTTTTCAATTCTTTTAATTCAGCCACTCAGTACCAGCAAAGTTGGGCTTATGCAAATAATGTTAACTTATTAGCAGCCAATGTAAATGCACCCAACATACAATGTTCGGGCAGTGGTATTTATCATGGACGGTCGGGTGCATTACAAGTGTTCATCAGTGAATTGCCCATGAGAAAAATTCTCATCGCAAATGTTCCCGTTGATTTGCCAAAAAATCATTTGACGGCGAGTACCGAGCGAAAAAATTCAGAATCAAATAATAAACTACAAAAAACTCGTTCGATTTCTGCCCAAAATATTGATTCTAGCCCATTGGACGGAGATTTATTTGGTACTTCGAAAGATAAATTTTCATATGCAATCGATTTGGGTCAGGATGACTTAAGTGATTATACCGTAAAATTTTTGAACTTCTCTACAAGTTCCTATCAAGTGGGAAGCGTTTGTAACAATGCCATTTGCTGTAATTATACGGTTGAAATTGACGATAACGGAGAACATGAAGGAAAAGTGAGCACTTCTCAGATGATCGAAGAGGGTGTGCGTTATTTAGTTTTTCATCTTTTCTAGTTCTCATATTCATATGCGATATCAGTGTTTAGTGGTCAGCGTGGCCACAAACCAATCAACGATTTATTCACCGGTCAAGACGTGTGCAGTTTGATCGCATGCATCGAAATGAACTCGAAGGACTCATGTGGATTGAGATTACCATTGCAACAAGTACAAAATCGATATAATTTTAAGAAATTATTTTTGGAAACCATGTTACCAATCACTTCTATGAATGTTATGCCAAACACACTCACACAAGAATTATTGCCGCTCAAAACAACCGAATTTGATTACAAATTGTAAGTCAACGAAAAAGTAATCTTTCGATTTGGAAAATGTCGAGTAGAAACTTTAGCCGTACATAGAAGAAATTCGGTGTCATTGAAGGTATCTTTATTTTAGGTCCGAAATTCAAGAGCAAGACAAATATGTGGTGACGTTAAATTTGAATACACCAAAATCAAATCTTCTAACATTTGCATTATTCTCTCGGAACTTTGACAAAGATATGTTTGTGAAGGGTACAGCAATGGCAGAAGGTATTTACATCTTTGTATTATGTATCTTATCAAGCTTTGTTTGGATGATGTCAAATGCCGATAGATTTTATTTATTTAATATATATAAGGTAAATTTGATGAAATTTGGGTCATCACAAAAATAAAACATTTAAAACGGTACATTTTTTTTTATTAACTGTTTATTTTCAATATTCGAGATAAGTTGGTTGTTGACAAAACAAATTGATATTTGTTATTCATGCTTGTTCATTATGTTATTTTTAAATGCTATTTTATTAATTGAATTCAAGCATTCGGAAAGAGATCAATCAATGTGGACCATCGAATCATTCGATGCGCATATGCTAGTGCAACGGAGGTGATTTTTCGACTCCGAAGCCGACTGACGTTGAGACTATTAATCCGATACCGACCATTCTCCGACTGTGGCGAAACCGTTCTCCGGCCATCTTCGGTTCGGTCGGGGCCGGCGGTCGTTGGGGGTCGTTGCTCGGTCGGAGTTGCAAACTCTGGTACGCGCATCATTCGATGGGCTACATTGATTGATCTCTTTCTGAGTGCTTGATTAAATTAAGCTCCATGTCTTTCTTCAGCGGGAGTATCCTTTATTGTTCTATACAACGAATATTGCACGTTCCATAGATAAAATATAAGACCTGAAATAAAATGTCTGTAAATCGAATTCAAACTTTTGAATGAACTTTAAATAAATTACCACCGAAACAATAAACCAGATTGGATGCAGATAAGCATATTAATGCTCTATAATTATCCACTTTTCCAACGTTCGTCTTTGTGGCGAAGTAATATACCACGAAGAATAGTGGCATGAAGAAAAGTATGAGAACGGTTGTAAATGTTGAAAATAGCATTGGCAACATTGGATAGTAACTTTTCTGTTTTGAAATACATGAAGGTTCAAATAGTTAGTTTTCATGAAAATACGAATTAAAAGCAAAGAGACTGAAAAACATTTTAAAAATTCCAGCCGAACATGAGTTGTAAACAAAAAAGAGTCCAAATTGATCAAACTCAGCATTTTTGCTTACTTTCGAACCATATAGTGGAATATATGTCGGCTATAGCTAGACTATAGTCACATTGAGTCGAAAAACCTACATTCAAAATTCCATAAAGCCAGCACGAGTTTATGACTAGGCCAGTGTCTGAAAAAAAGACATCATTTTTATTTGCTTAAATCCCATCGCTCAAAAAGCCTTAAATTACAAAACTTGAGATTGAATAATCACACCCGAAATCATTATTTATCATTTGCCCCCTTCTTTGGCCACATTTCTTTCATTACTTACAACAAAGCACCAAAAAAAACATTGGTTCTGGGATTCCTGCAAAAATGTATGCAAAACATGCTGTAATGCCAATTACACCCATTGTGATGCCAGCTGTTTTTAAATTTATGCACCAAAAACAACTGTTTACTATTCTAAATTGCATTTTTTGCCAATATTATACAAAAATTTCTTTTCTTCTGAATCAAACTTTTTCAAATGTATTTTTATCAATAAAATGATGAACATTGAGCTAATCAGCTAATTTATTTTATGAATAAAGTAAGACTTTTCTTCGAAAAAAGAACCGGTAACTCCTTTTTACTTGTTTCACTGAAATATTTTCCTCAACTAATCGTAAGAATTGAAATTATCCACCAATACAACGATGATATGCACGAACAATTTCGCTCAACTGGTGGAAAGCGTATGAGTTTTCTTCGTTCAACAATTTAGCAAAAAAAAAAAAAATTAAGAACGAAGCGTTCGTCTATTAATGAGCTATTCAAGCGACATTTATGTACATTGCAAAAACGAGTCGTATTACATTGACTGTAATATGTTGGTAAGCGAAGTTAAAGCAAGCGAAAATTAATAAACTAATTCATTATTCGAAATATTATAGCTCATAAATTAGCGTATTAATAATTTCCCAATTATGTCTTCTATTTTCCATTTTTTTCTAGCTTTTTGAAATGTGTGCAAATTTTGACATTTCACTCATTTCATGTTGTTGTGACAAACAATTTAGTCCTACAAAAAATCGGGTATGAAGTTTAAGTTTTAGTTTCATTCAAATTTTTCAAAGTCTCAGTAGGGCGTAAAAGCTAATGTTGGGCATGTTTTATATGATGCGCATATCATTATAGTTTTATATATATACCTAGCTTTATACACACATGAATGTCCGAGAATGAAAGCGAGACTTCTATACACAGCTTATTGAAATGTAACACCGCCATACAAAAAATGCGGACTAGTCAATAAGCTGTGAATAGAAGTCTCGCTTTCATTCTCGGGCAATCATATGTTCAATATTGTGTATATATTTTGTGTGTTTGTAGTAACGCTCTGTAGGCTCTGTACGACCTCTTGGCGCCTACATATTTTTTTACTTTTCTGATATAACTTACAAAAGCAAAGCAAAAAAATCATCATTCAATACAATGGCGTTGTCTGAAGAACATCGATTCCACCATAACGCAACAGTAGCAGCTTTGTATGTTTTTGCTTTTAAACATCTTTGTTTGCTGTTTATTTAAAAAGATTGAGAGGAAGGAAAGGGAATAGAAAGAAAATTGAAAGTTTATATTTGTCAAATTCTTCCGAATTTGGTTTGAAATAAAAGTTCTTCTAATACACTATCATTGTAGTTCTCTTTCGAAAAAAATACGTTCCACTTACACACTAGGTTTGTGCGGAAAAGTAGACCATAAGCAGTTTGTGAGATTTATAGTTTGAAGGGTATTTCTTTGCGTTTTTTTAAATTCCATCAATATCACTCAAGTAGCTCTCTAATCTAACGAAAGCCAGCACGAAACATGATAAGAAACATCACATGGTTCATTTTCTCTCGATTAGAATAGTTTTATCAGGGCTCAAAAATATAGTCTCTATTAAATGATTAGATGATTAAATACTTTCTCATTTGAAGAATAATGGCACAAAAAATAACAATTCAAATAAGACAGCCATATTTATTTGACACATTTTTATTTGCGCTCAATTTCATGTCTGTATTTCATTGGAATGAACATACAGGTTTAACACAAAAAAAGGTTTTAATTTCAAAGACAAAAACCGGCTACCTCATTTCGTTTAAGGCTTTTTCTTTTGTGCCTTTTCAGCTGCTTTTCTTTTTTTTTCTGCCTGCTTTTCTGCTTCTTTCTTTTCTTTTTCTGCCTTATCTTTTAGTTTTTTTTCATAGATGGTTGGATTAAAATGAAGATTTTTCGTTTCCATCACAAGCTCTGCACACTTTAAAGCTTCCGCGACGCATGCATTAACATCTTTTGATAATTGGTAAAGAGGAGCCAAAAAGAAGTCCTGTGCCTCCTTAATCTGAGTTAGTGCATTGGAAAAAGAAACCTCGTTTTTATTATGTATTGCATCTAACTTATCCATATAAGCGTCTCTCATTGCAACAAAAGTATCCAGTTGGCTAGTTATTTTGTTGGAAAGTTCATCATGTGCCGCTTTCAACGATGGTAATTCTTTCTGAATTTTGTCCAAATACTTATCGTTGATTTTCTTTTTTTCGAATTTTTTATACGCTTTTTCGAACCCCTCAATGTGTCCAATTTTTGGATCTGCCAATCCCAACCTAACCAAATGCAAAGTTGCTTCAATTTTACTGTGACCATCATTAATTGAATCGATTTGTTGTTTTACTGAATATTGAGGAGCTGTACTGGTTTCACCAGCCGGAAAATTATTCCTCAATTCTTCCGCATTTGTTATGTATCCATTGGCCAATTGATCGATCCAAAGTGGTCGCGTTTTTTCCAAATATTTCATAATGTCATCGAATGGAAGAAGAAGCACCTTTTCTAATATTTCGTACCATTTTGTTGTTGGATCGGTTATGTTCGCTTTTGTTTCAAACTGGAGCATCAACGACTTGAAGGCTTGATACTCAGAGATATCTGGACCACTGGTCAGTTTGAACTGGATAAAAAGAGGACAGCAAACCATTTTTTTTTTTTTTCAAAATATAATTTCAAATAATTTATCTAAGTAAATACTCGTTTTAAATTGTATATTACGTGGCCAAGTGTTGCGAACGATGATGTATAGAACGATGATAATATCAAAAATAAAAACAGCTTCATTTCGTTGAAGGAATACTTATGTTCACATATAGCTTAAAAGTAACTGATAATTAAACAGTATTCGCGTGGTCGTTTTTATACCTTCGTAATTTGCACAAGAAATTATGTCACAAATTATGAATGGAATTTACATCGCAAATGTGTATACGAAACTTTATTTGAGAATAAAATAATGTGTCTTGTTCGGTCTTGTTTTACAAGAGAAAATTCCATATTTCGAACTCATTTACGTAGGTATTGTTTTCGATTTGCGAGTTATATAAAATTTATTATCATTAATTCCATTGAAGTGGCAACAACAAGTATTTTTTAATGTAAAAAATATTCAAATTTATAAAGAAAAAAAAATATTGTCAATGACTTCGCAATTTCATACGAACGTTTTCACGTTAATGATAACTTTGATAAAATGTTGTTGAAAAAAAGAAGAAATGAATTCGGCCGAATTGTATAATTTCCTTTGAAAAAATGCAAATATGTAATGATTTTTCATCGCTTTTTTATTGTCAAACAAAACAACGAAATAATATGGATATTTTCAAAACAAAACAAGATCCTTCAAAACAAATAAAACAATTTGATGTAGAATATAGTTTGGTCCTCTCTATTCTAAGCGTAATTTGTTTATTTGGCTATATTTTGAGCTTTGATTTATTCATAAATAGACACTATCGTACTGATTTCAGACACCATTTTTGGGTAAATGGACTTGCACGTGCAAATTACCCCCACGAACTGTTGCGGCCTTCATTGTTTTATACAGCGAATATTTCACAATCCAGAGATATGAGGCAAGAACTAAAGTGGACACAAAATGATTTAGAAACCGTTGATGTTTGTATATGTATGATGAAGAGCTTCACATACCTCCAATGCAATAGGCAATCAACGAACCGGACGTGCAAATGTATGCCAATCTATTGTTTGCTTTTTTATCATCGGTTTCTTCGGTGTAGAAATAGATGATTAGAAAGATTGGCGACAGGAACAATAGTACGATAGCAATGAATGACACAAGCAACCACGGCACCATCAATTTTGGATTTTCCTAATGAGTGATGTAAACAAATTATGTATAGTTCAAGTTCGACGCGGTTTAATTTACGTTTTTATTGATTTTTTTTTTTTTAATCCCAATTTATCAAACCTTGAGCACACCATAAGCCCAACACGAATTGACAATCAGAGCGATTACTGCAATAGAAAATACTCGTTAAGTTTGAACCATTTCAAATTGATGCTGAAGTCTCTATTCAGTGTGATTATGTATGACGTAGGCATTTTTAGCGATGCCAATAACGGTGGCTGTTGTTATTTTTCACACAGTTTCAAACGCTATACATTTATTCATCCGACATCGTGACGCCTTCATCGTTTATTTTCGAATAAAATTCAAATGAAATTATAAACTCACAATTCAACACCACAGCATAGCCACTCAAAACGCCCAACGCACTCATAATAACACCAATTGCCCCCATTATCAAGCCTGCTGTTCGCAAAGTCATGCAACAGCAACAATCGGTTACTGTTGGCAACTTCATTTTTACTCCCGTAAAAAGAACTTTTTCGAAAACTAATTCACTAATTTCAAACAAAATGAATGCAACGTTTATTCGATCTGAATTTGATAACTTTTTATAAAACCACCAGTTGATTCAACATCGTTTGTAGAAATCCAATTTAACATAAATAACCAATTTATTGCGAATTAAGTATGCAAAATTTATGATGAATTTCACTTCTTGGAACCATTCAAAAAATAAGAAAAAAAACTTTTTTTTTCGTTCGTTCGAAACTACAGCATCTCTCAATAGAAGCAATCTGTTGCTGACGATGATGAATAAATGACTGACTGACTTTTTTGGTGAGTGGCATGAAGAGGATAAAAGCTTTAGACTGTGAACAATTTTCTGTTGAATATCAAGTGCGTACATATGAGTACATAAACTCGATTAAAATTGCTGTGAATCATTTATGACACCAATACAAATGAATGCATTCACATAAACACACGTAATACATAGAATACATAAGAGGGCAAATGCTTTTTTACGAAGAGGGTGCGAAAAATTCCAATCAATCCTGATATAGCATGTACAATACTAATGATATTGGATTCATGGGGTGAAGCAAAGTGAAAGCAGTGGTTGTGATGGAATTTATGGAATTAATTTTACATTGAGCTGGTTTGAATACATATTTTGATATATTACATCTGGTTTTGCTCAATTCGATAGAATAATTTTAATGAGTCTTTTTGAGTTCATTTATTATTGCACAACCACTAGACATCAACACTATACATTATATGTATGAAAAATGGAGTTTTATCTATGGAGTTTTCTCAATGAAAAGTTGGTTCAACACTTCCGTATGTTGGGTAGTTGTAAGAAGTTTTTCCGTTAAAATAAATCGATGGTGAGTACATGAGAATTCCAAATAACTCTTCGATGGGCTTTGTTTTGATTTTAAAGATAGTAAAAATAGATCTCAGTGTATGAAAAGGAGTTTGTCTACAAACAATATGTGCTGACGATAATGGGAGACTTTGTTTACTTACTTTTGCTCATGATGTGACGCTTCATTTTCAATACAGTTCCATTGATTTCACAGTGTAAAATGTTTACAAAATGAATTTTATACTGGCTACGACAAGAATGGAATCGTTGGGAATAAAAGCGGGAATAGCTCTGGCTATATCGTCTGGATTCATATCACAGTCATAAGTATGTCATAGTTGGAATTTCCATTTTTATTTAATTCTGTACAAAGACACCGAGGGGGTCCAATCTAACGGATGAGTGTCCGCACATGAAAATATGTTTTTCGTGTTGAATATGTATATTTACTGTATCAAAGGTGTACTTTACTGTACCGAAAACCATTCGAAAGTGTACCACCTAGTTTGGTGAATATCCGGAATCGAAAAAAATCGACATCTCCAATTTGCCGCAAATTTTTGTAAAATTCATTTCTTTTTGGTTTTTTTTGTGTTGAAAATAATTGTACCCAAAGTGTACTATCCAAAAAAACATAAATATGAGGGAATTACCTCATCAATATACCAACCTACAAAATAATCATAATTTTGTTCAATATAATAATAAAGAAAACAGTAGACTTAAGCAGACCAATGAACTATATTTCTTTATTTTTTTTTCTATTTAGAGATTTTTAGCTTTGAAATTGATATTTTTTATTTTGGTTTATTTTTTTACTTTTCACGTGCGTAATGTTCTGTATTTCCGCTATTTTCCATTTTCTTTCGGTACCAACTTTAGATTATTCTTCTTCAATATTTCAGCCATAACCAAAATACAACCCGAGTATACCAACGGCGCTCTTTACACAGCGTGTACGCTCTTATCTACGCTCTTCTGAATTTCATTTTATTCATCTTCTTTACAATATAAGCAGCAACGAAGAAGAGCTGTATCATACACAGTAACGAACACAGTACATACGAAACGTATGCAAGAACAAATGCAATGGTTACTAGATTTGTTAGTCACTTACACTGTGTTTGTTGCTGTGTATGATACAGCTCTTCTTCGTTGCTGCTTATATTGTAAAGAAAATGAATAAAAAGAAATTCACAAGAGCGTGAATAGAAGCGTACACGCTCTGTAAAGAGCGCCGTCGGTACACTCGGGAAATACATAAAATTAAGTGGAGACACTGAGAAGCCAGTGAGAGTGCTTTCTAAGAACTCAAAACATTCGAGAGTTTGGAAAAATATTGAAAATTGTCGATTTGGCAGAGGGGCATGTGAATTGAAAAAATATTAGTTCGAAAGGAGGTATTTATATGAAGGTTCAGCCAATTCTACGTACTAAAACTCAATATTGAAAGTTATGCAAATGATTGGAGACACTGAGAAGCCGGTCAGAGTGCTTTCTAAGAACTCAAAACATTCGAGAGTTTGGAAAAATATTAAAAATTGTCGATTTGGCAGAGGGGCATGTGATTCGAAAAAATATTAGTTCGAAAGGAGGTATTTATATGACGGCTAAGCCAATTCTACGTACTAAAAGTCAAGATTGAAAGTGATAACATCTGTCAGGAAAGTTTTGGCACTAAATTCAGGCGTTTATTGCGATACATAAACAAAAATAAAAATGCCAACCAATGCACATAGGATACTTAACGGGACTCCTACTCTACGGTCAAATACAATTTGCACAAAAATTTCCATTCGCGATGACGTATAAAGTGGATTTACAAAAAAGTGTCTCAAATGGTTTTGGCGAGCTAAGTTCAAAACAATTTCTGCATGTGTTTAAAGATGAACCAATCTGTCTTCGAACCATGTATCGTTTTTCAGGGACTTAGTATGAAGATGAGAATTCTAGAGGATGCAAAAAATACGGTCGTATTCCCAATTTAAATGCTCAAACCCTTCAAAATTATCATCAAGTACCGAAAACCGGGTTGGTCAAGCAAAAATTCATTTTTGGTGATTCTTATGATTACAACACATTAAAATTTGAACCAAAACAATAGATTCAGACACGATCATTAGTAATCAGCAAAATAAGTTACGAAAAAATTCCAAAGTGTGTCAAAAATTGGCTGTTCAATTCGCCTCATAACATGTTGCACTGAAAAATTCATCATTTTGGATAGTGAAACATTCATCGCTATATCGAACCATGAATGAAGTACGAATGATTTCCTTTGCATTGATAAAGTTAGGGCACTACTATATAAAGCTAGAGACGTCGACAAACCGAACTTTGATAAAGGGGTGTTTGTATGGTAGGATCTTCTTTGGAAGGTGTTTTAGAGCCATTATTCGAAAATTTAATGCTGTAACGTAAGGTAAAACCTCCATTACTGCTCCATTATCAACCAAATATTGTTGTAATCGATGGGATTCGTTGAGAACTATTGGATTAAAGACAAAATTGTGCTTTGTAAGCAGAAAAAACCACATTAATGGCTCACTTCTTAAAATATGACATTTCCATGAAAAAAGGACCATCTGTTTAACTTCACAAAAAGACACCAATTTAATTATTTTTCTTCTGTTTTTGGCTGTATGTTATAGGCGGGGGTCCAAAATACTTAAAACGTGCAACAATTGGTTGGATGAATTGAGAGAAAGTTGAAAGAAATCGACAAATTGGTCTGCCAAAGCATGATTTTGATGGTTCGACACATACTGAGAAAAAATCGAAGACAATGGTCCGTTCAATGTAAATTGAATGTGCTATTCGATAGCCTATGAATAAAGGTTTATACCAATAAAAACGAATTTAATATTGTGTGTTTGTTGTTCAAATGGAAACGTCTGAATTTTGTGCCAAAACTTTCCTGACAGATGTTACAAATGAGTGGAGACACTGAGAAGCCAGTGAGAGTGCTCTCTGAGAACTCAAAACCTTTGAGAGTAAGAAAAAATATTGAAAATTGTCGATTTGGCTGCCTCCACAGATTTATGATGAAACGTGATAATGGCCTGAATTATGGCTGAATTCGGTGAATTAAGGTCCAATCTCAATTTCCCGCTTGCTAACTCTTTGTAGTACAATATTTCGCCGGAATAGCTCATTGAAATATCGATATTTTACTTTTCCGCACACCCACTGCAAGTTTGCCGATTTATTTGACAGAATGTCATTGATTCGCTCACGCATGACAAGTGAGGTTATGTGTCAAATGAATCGACAAATTTATATTGTTTTGGTTCATTGCAGTGCAAATTGTAAGTTTTGTTATTGTTTTTATTTATTTTAATGATTTTTTTGTAATTTTAAAATTATATTTCATGTTTTTAATGTCAAAAAATGTTTTTTTCCACTAATTGCAGACTTACATCTGATTGCAACATGAAATCGTCTGTAGGAGAACACGGTAGCATTTTATATGATTTTTTTCAGGTAAATTTATTATTTTCTATTCTAGTTTTATTTTATTTATGCTGATTTGTTTTATATTTTCTCCTAGGACACCCTAATGATGGTGTAACCCTAAGGGGTATGGTATGCAAAAATTTGTTAATTCGATAAATCTTTCCCCAGAGACGTAAATTAAAGTTTGAAATGTGTACTGGGGGGTTTTTTGGCACGAGAACAAGAAAACCTCTCATACAAATTTTTCGTTTTTGTGCCAAAAATCGAAAATGTTGTATGGGAAGTACCCCTACTTTTGAAATTATTTCAAATTTGGTGATATTAAGTATTTTGGCACGAAAATAAGATTCACAAGTATCCACGGTGATTAAGTCATGTAGTTAGGGCGTTTTGTTCACTCGAAATTGATCGACTTTCTTTCCAAAATGTATGCTTGCAGTAACTTAATCAGTTAATCACAATGAAAACTTGTGGATCTTATTTTCGTGCCAAAATACATAATTTCACCAAATTGGGAGAAAGATTTTTGACTCAAAAACGGAAATTTTGTATGGGAGGTTCAATTTGTATTAGAATTGCCTCAAACTTTCGAAATATTATTTTCTTCAAAGAAAATAGCCTGTTTACATATTTTGAATTATTTATGCGTCATTAGTCTATTAATACAGGTTTTACTGTATATTAATTGGCCAAAAAACTTTACTGCCCTCATAAATCAGAATTCGGTAGTTATTGAATTAGTACTGCACTACCAGTGTTCAATATCTTTTGGAAAATAAATATTCGTTCGGTAAAGAAAGAAACAGTGCGGAAAAGTTAGACTTACAGATGTAAGTTCCTTTTTATTTCAATATGAAAAATGATTGATTTTTCATATAAATCAGCTCAAAAATGAAGTTTGCCTCCACAGATTTATCATGGAACGTGATAATGGCCTGAATTATGGCTGAATTCGGTGAATTAGGGTCCAAT